GTATGTGGCGTCATGTGTCGTCGCGTCTCGCGTCTCTTTTTTCGCGTGAAGTTAGCCGCACACGGAAAACAAATGCCGCTCCCCCATTTCGATCGCATTTTGTTCGCAATCTCGGTGAGTCTACCGACGTGATCAGACGTGTTGCGTCATTATTTTGAGGAAGTGTAACCGGCTTCAAACGCGCATTTGAGTTCGTTACTTTTTTAGACTTTCGTATTCTGCATGTTGATTTTTGTTACCGCATATAGCGGCATTTTCAATTCTGGCCGTGTCGGTTCTGTGTTAGAGTCGGAGCCATTCTCGCGCGAAGAAGACATTTCATTCGCGAAATGCGGCGAAATAGACTGTCTCTCAGACAAGTGGAAATGCGCGATCAAATATGGTAATTAAAATCTATATAATACCTGAATATATAACTTAAATATATATTTTCATACGCGATATTTAACTATCGCGTGACTAGATTCAGTAATCGCATATTAATAATCCGTTCAAACGCGTATTTCGTAAAATTTGTTTGCCGAAGGTGTAGCTTAAATAATTGATGAGATTTCCGAATATCAATCTGCAATACGGAAATAATTATGAAAGAAGAGCGTATATTACAATATACGATAGCTCTTTGCGATTGTTATTTCCGTATTTCGAGCATCAGATATATTTCGAAATACGGAAAATTTATGAACGCGACGCCGAGAGAAAGAAGTGCAACGTCAATGCCGCGTCGTTTGCGTCGCCTTTGGTACGCGAAGTTAACCGCGCAAAAACAAAACTGTCTCGCTTTCTTAATCTTAACTACGATTTATTTACACATTTCGATCTGTAAATGAAGCGCAGAAATAATTAAGAGATGAGATTGGCATCGATCAAATGATAATTGAAACTTATATTAAATCTATATTTGTCGTTTATTGTAACACTTTGCGCAATTATAGATTCAATATTCATTAACAAAAAGACGCGCTTTGCCACCGTGTCGCTCTTGAAAATTAATAACGCGAGAGACGAAATCACTTCGATATATTAATTGCATTTATGTTTTATTTGCAGAATGCGACGAATACGAGATGGTTGGCTCAAAATGATTGCTGTCGCGATTTATTAAATTGGTAAATAAAATTTATATTAATTTTATATCTAATTATTAAAATATCAAATAATTTCTTGTAATATAGTTTCCGCA